TTTAGGCATCTTTCCAAGCCGTGCCAACCCATTCTCCATCAACAATGGACACAATGCTATTGAAATGGATTGTCTCCTTCCTTTGTGGTCTCTCCCTTATCCAGAGATTATTGTCATCAAAATGGGAATGTTTTACATAGAAAAATCCTCCAACAGTCAGTGCACGGTAGTTCACATCTGTAACCGATGCCCTCCAAAAATTCCTCATCCTGACCAGTTGCAGAAACAAAATCGCCAACTTCAGGGTAGACAGGCACAATTACCTTGGGGAGATTCACATCTTCCCTGAACGGATCCACCACTGCATATTTGTTACCTGTATCTGGAAACAGCATGATCTCTTGTCTAAGGTCTTTCAAACTTAAGCAAATTGAAGAGTTTGCAGGTTGAATGTACAGAGTATCACTAACAGGATGCCTTGTAACCTCGCCACTAGGGTTTATGATCAGTTCAAAAGTCACACCAAGGACAAGAGATTGATAGGCATCTTTAACTTTAATCAAGTAGAAATCTTGTATTTGCAAAAATACTTCAGCCCCTTCTTGAACTGCAGAAACGAAGTCTCCTTTCCTGTAAAGCTTTCCACCCAATTAGTTTGCAATGCATGGGAAGGAATGCACTGCAAAAGTATTCAACAGCTTCGCTGAGATCGTCTGCTGTAACATGCTCCAAATATTCTAGAACAGTTTGTCTCTTTTGATATGACATTATGTGGATTTGGCCAGAACCAATTAACACTCCTTGATTTACTTTATCAGCAAGAGGCCCTCCTGAACAAAGCGTTAAGAGGTACTTGGCCCCTTCCAAAGACGATGCAGTTACCATAATCACTGATTAGAAAACAGAAGGAAAGTTAAGTGATAGCCTGCAAATTATGAATTTGATAGCTGCAGTAGTTACACAGACCACTTTATTGCATTATAATTATCAAGGCTGCGCTGTGAGAAAAATTACAAGGAGCCTAGAAGTTCCAACCTATGAGATCCAGGGCACGCAGCATAAAGCTTGAAAAGTAAGTTTATCGGTTGCCCAAAGGCAAATGTTAGTTGTGTAAAGCACCAGGGCACCCTTAGAGCACAGCCCTGGTTATAGTTATAAGTTAGATGAGATGGCTTACTGTTATTGCTTACAAAAGGGAGGTATGTGTTACATGTAATTGTGTAATATTGTTATA